TCTGCACCCCCCCCTTTTTTTTTGGAAAACGTTAGCTTCTCTAATTTTTCACCGTTGAGAAGACGAGATAAAACCTCTTCAGCCTCGCACTCCTTTGGATGGCTCTTGCGCACCACACTTGGGGAACTTTGGACTCCACGACTGGTTTTGGGGTCCCCTCCCCTCTGTTTGGGAAACCGTGGTTTCTATCCACAAAGCTTCTTGTGTTCCTTCTTCAACCTGTATATGCTGACAACACATTTTGTATACGTGGTTCCTGTCCAGTCCAGTCTTTGGCGAGCATGCGTCCCTCCCTCCACAATATGGACGCAAACAAACTGCTGCAATGGTGAAACCTCGCTTTTCCCCTGTCTTCCTTCACTTTCAAACCGAGACGCTTCTCCCGCCGAACGCTATGGACGACCTTTGAACCGCATGGCCTGCAAAGACTTTTTTTTTTCCACACGTGCTGCACATCTCTATGGTCGTAGCTTAGCAGACGGCGTCAATCCTCAAAGTTGTCACCCGCCTCGAAACAAGTGCTTTATGGGACCAAAGAGCAGGCAGTCAGTCCCCGCTCCTTTGTAACCCTTTCCAACTGGCACCTGGGCCCGAACCTTGCGACGAACCGCCACCCCCTGTGCCACATCATCTTAATGGCAACAACACTGCCTGACACCGTGTGTGCGTGTGCGTGTGTGTGTGCGTGTGCGTGCGTGCGCGCGTGCGTGTGTATGTGTGGGTGGGTGTGCGTGTGCGTGCACGCTTCTCAATCTTGTGTATTTGGGTGAATGTATATCTGTTTATATAAGGAAAGGTGTGAAACAGTCAAGTACCTTTTATTGCGAGTACACACCTTGCACTTTTGTTGTTTTTCGCTGAGGGAAACATAAAGAATCAACATAGAAGGAGAAAATCTGCCAAACAAACAGTGCCATGATGGTTTTAGCCCGGGTTTGCCTCCTTCAAAAAAAATGCAACTTTGGACTCCTTTTCATCGATTAGGCATTTGCGGAGTTGCTGATATGTTCTATTTTGATGAGTTACACTTCTTTCTAGGGATGGGCACTAAATTTAGCAATCGATTAATCTCTTCTAAATGATTTCAAGGGGTTAGGGTTAGGAAGCAGCAGTTTTGCGAAATTTGTTTGAAAGAGGCTTCTCTCAAATGTTTAGACTCCTCAAAATAATCAACAATAGCCTCACAATGGACAGACCTCTCAACAACCAATCAATCGATTGCGCTGCCTTTCCCTAATTCTCTACAAATACAAAATTAATGTGTTTATTTTACGTTGAATGTAAGGCAAACATGTCCATTTCGCTCCTTACCAATTTGAGTTTTGTTTTTGCTCGCCAGCCATTACTTGAACTGTTATACACATACGTGGCATTTACTTTATGTGAGCGCATTCACACACACTTTTGCTGTACAGCATCTTTAGAAATGCATGACTCATTTTTCGACTATGTCCACAGCCTTGTACTGTACCATTTAAACTGTATTATGCTTTTTTCTTTTTTTTTTTTTTTTTTTTTTTTTACCATCAGCTTTGCTCCGTCTCTGCCTGGCCGTTTTAAATGTATTTTGTTTTTTTTTTTTTTTTTTTTTTTTTTTTTTTTGTCTTGTTTGTTATCTACTTGGTAATGCTAGTTGTCGAGCATTCAGCATGGCCGCCTCCGCCGGCACGTGATCATATCATTGGGCTGGATTGATGTCTTGTGGCTAATGATGCCGGTTAGGTGCTAATCATCGCTGTTATGTTAAAAGAAAAAAAAAAGGATGGAAAATGAGGGTTCCGGTGGCCAACATTCTGAGACTGAAGTGTCCTTGAGGTGGGGCGCGGGGATTATTGGTGCCAAAAAAACAATTGGTTATGAGAGTTGGCTTAGTTTTAGCCAAATAATTGCCAGACTACCAATAGTATTAAAAATTCTGAGCTCGATTTATTTCGTGGTTTACATTACAGCATGTGGCAAAGGCAGAATCCGAACAGTTATTACAAACTGGGATATTCTGCAACTATGGCAGACTCAACTGCAGATGGGGTGAGGCTTTTATTTTTGGAATAATGTTAAAGAATGTTACTGCTGTCGTAGAAGACATCAAACTGGAATTTAAAAGGAAATCATAGCCACCCAACATTGTGGGGCTATCGCCTATCAAACCGCTGAAAGCTTGGTTGCCTTTAATGTGCCATCTTATTGTTCGTTCTTTGCTTTTACGGATCACCTTCCTGAGACTGATGCATGTGCATTTTAAAATGTTATTCTCGTGTGGAAGTCATGCATATTTTATATATATTTGTAGAGGGTTTTTTTTTTTGTGTGTCCTTTTATTGTTTTGTATGGATGCAATATGCCAATTTTACAGCTAATGCAAAGCGTTGGTGAGCACGAAGAAAAATCATAATCTGATGATAATAAAGTTGCAATTTGTATATTTTATATCATAACGATGGCAAAATAGCTAAACTCAAATCAAGTCGCAATTTTACGAAATAAATTAGAATGTTACGGGGGAAATTAAAAACAAAGCCATAGTAAGAGATCGTTGTTACATTTCAAGTTGTACTTTAACAAATATTACTTTATCATATCAGCTCTTAATCATAGAATTCCAACTTTATTCACTATACTTTTTCCTTGCAATGTTATGTCTTCATTCTCCTGAAATCGTGTTTTCTCTTACATATTTTCCTCAGACATACTTTTTTTGCCGACACTCTTTCTCATAACTTTTCTTCTTGTACTCCTTCGTGGATGTGTATGATATTTGGGCACGCGGATAAAAGTAGGCCTATTCATCCCGATCCGAAAAAAAACCAAACTGAAAATGTGAATTCTATTGATCTTTTTCATTTTGCAAAGATGTTTACGACGATTTCTTAATTTCCACCCGTCGGCCGCATTGTGCGTGGTCAGGATTTTGCCGTCATGTATTTAGCGCACAGTCGGAACTTTGACCTATGTATAATTGTTGACGCCGAGTTGCCGCCGTGACTTTTTATACGAGAATGCCACTGCATGTAGCAAAAATGGCTTTGAACCCATTGCAAAATATCTATATTTATATTTTGGAGCTGTTGGGGAGGGGAAAAAGCTACATAGCAGTGCGCTATTGCTACTTTGGTGAACACAGCAGGCCCGTGTCGCATTCTTGCATGCATCCGGACGACATCCTGTTTTTGTAATTTTTTATTTTATTTTTTCGATTCAATAACTGGTGGTGTGTGTATCAACGTAGCAACGATTATCCACGTTTTTGATGGACGCTACGCAGACTAGCGCTGATACTGTTTTTCACTACCTCTGCTGGTCATTCAGAGGAATTGCGGTCATTGCTAGCAAGAGTGAATTTTGTCTCTTTTACCCCCACCGTGTTGTTACATCTTGTCTGCATCCTCCTGATCCATGACGACCACACAAAACTGACTTGAAACATCGTAATTTTACAAGAAACATTTTTTGTAAGGTGAATAAACTCATAATATTAAAGGAAAACATTTGAAATATTACGTGAATGCTGTTCTATTACAATAATATGACTTTACTTAAAATTTGGGAGACAAAAGTAGAGAATAAAGTTGTATTATAATGAGAGCATTCTGATGAGAATAACCAAAGTTTTATTTATAGATAAAATGACTACTCTTCGCATAAATTTGCAATTAAATTCTCTGTAAAGTCAGCTTTATTCTTGTAAAATTACGACTTTGTTCTTGGAAAATCAGGACTTTCTTCCAGTGAAAGTACAACGTTGCTTTCGTGAAATTACTAGTTTGTTTGTTTGTTTTTTATTCTCATAAAGTTACGACCGCGCCCTTGTTAAATGACGACTTTACACTCTTGAAAGTGTCCCTTTATTCTCATAAAATGGCAACTTTTTTGCCCGAATTTTTTTTTTGTTGTCTAATTGCTATTCCATTCTTGGAAAATTATGACTTAATTCACCTGAAAATTATGACCACTCATAAGACTTTATTCTCATACAATGAAAACATTATTCTCTTGAAGTTGTAACTTTTTTGTTGTTGTAAAATTACAATGTAATTCTCTCAATGTTGACTTTGTTATTGCACTCTGACTTCATAAGAGGACATGCATTGCTAGCTGACGAGAGTGCTGCAAGTGGGATTTTTGCAGCTTATTGTCCCTCCCTGTTGTTACGTCTTGAAAACAATGGCCATCTTGCATCCCGCTGCACGAAAACCACTCACCCAAAAAACAAATAAATCTGTTTGACGTTCTACATCGACAGCGACATCATCGCGTTAGCTTTTTCCGCCGCAGCCGATGCGGCCTACCATGACGGGAATGAGCTTGTGACTGTTCTTGTACTTTTTTGCTCTGAGACTGGAAAATCTTACTGCATGGTGACACTTCTAGAAAACCTTTTATCAGTATTTTATAGCCTTGTTGATTTTATATATCTATATACAGTAAATATATAAATATATATATACAGTATATCGCTATAACTAATACCCCTTTTACCTTGCGTTAAAGTCGGTACGATTAGCTTATCTAGCTTTCGGAGAGGTTTACTTGTCCGATTTGTACTGTGGGCTTCTTTATGTCTTCTCTGCTCATTTACTCAATTATTTATTGTTTTGCCTTTGAATCGATGCCTGTGCTTTGGATTCTCGGTAACACTGTGCTTATTTTATAGCTATGAGCTGCAGGAAAAAAAAATCGTGGTTTGTCTTATTTTTCTTTTTTTTTTTTGCATTTGTATTTAATGTCAACTCGTGGCATGACTTTGAAATAAAATTGAAAATCATTCTTTAGTGTTTTTATTTCATAATTGTATTTTAGCTGAATTAATACAAAGAAAAATGCCAATAATAAATATTTGTTAGGTTTCTCTGCCTGCAGTATATTTGTTAAGGGGAAAAGGTTTTACAGTGTTCACACATCAGTCCAATGTTATTTGTTGACCAGACATTAGATACCGGTACATTTTTTTCTCGTAACTACTTCATTCTCTAAAATAGCACTTTTTCCAAAGGATTTTTTTTCTTCATAAAATGGGTCATTTTAATGTTGTGAAATTCCTAGGGGGTTTTTGCGAATATTGACATTGTTTTTGTATAAAATATTTTTGTAAAATGTTCATCTTTATTCTCCAAATTTGCACTTTTTGCAATCTGTGTCTACTTAAGACTCCGGGCACACAGGTGTCTGCATACAAACCTTCAAAAGTCATTTTTCCAAAGTATGTCAAAGTCTGGTTACCAAAGTTGTACCCGAGTGACCAGCTCCTCCCGTTCCACCTTGTCCTACAGGCTCCACCCACCACCCTCCTAATCAGGATCAGCAGCCATGAATCAGATTCAACAAGAGTTTGGAGGACTCCTTCACTGACCCGTACCACAAAACCCCTCAAAGAACCCCTTGTCGGACCCACCGCAGAGGATTTAACACAAGGTCCCGAAAGGCAGAAACTATCCAGCTTCCTCCACCAACTTCTCAGCTGGTACTGTCCTTTTGGATAAAGCAGAGACCACCGGAAGAGACAACAAGAGGGATCTTCATATTGAGAGGTTCGTGGGGGGGTGGATTTGATGATGATGGTTTGGCGGGTAATGACTGAAGGCTTTCACTCACCACCCGGCCACATTGCTAGCAGTTCTTGCCGGCCTCTGTGGCCCCAGCTTTAGGCCAAAGCCTCTTACACTGGCTCTGTGCTTATTGGCCAGCTCTTAAAGGAGACTTCAGTAAACAGCCCTGATGCCTTAAAAGAACTGCCTTTGTAACATACAAAATGCTTTGCAATTCAATCATAAATGTTTTGTGGATGGATCCAATGGATAGACTGAACATCATACAGATGCTAGCAATCCGAACTGATGCTTCCAACTGCAGTTTGCAAATGTGTCTGTTTATGTACTTCGCAAGCACACACTCACTGCGGCTCGCAAAAAAAGCTGACTGATGAGTGGCTGAGTTAGATTGCACGTGATCGGTCTGCGCGTTTCCTGCACACATTCTTTAACTACTGGGAACAGCCAACCAAAAGTCACACACACACACACACACACATTTATATTTAAATAAATTATATATATATATATGTTGTGTTGTATTATTTTGTAATTTTATGTTAACTGTTCTGTCGATGGCGGCGCGGGCACCCGCAGCGGCTCCTCTCTCTCCTGAGGTAGCACTGTGGTTGAGAGGAAAGAAATGTCATCTGTGCTGTATGTTTTACATAGAGCACATTTGACAAGAAAGTTGACTTGAACTTGAATAAGCGACATTGAACACGGATGGAAGGATGTTTTAACTTCTCAAATGTCTGATTAAACATCCCGTGAGCAATGATTCTGACAGAAACAAATAAAAAATAAATATAAACATACACATAGTAAAATAGTTTGACCATTAATATTCATAGATTTATTGACTTTGCTTTTACATCTTCTCAGAGCTAAGCTCACTGTAACAGACGTATGTCTTTTTTTTTCTGCAGAGTTGTTCATGGACGACAATGGGGGGTCTTAAACTTGATCGGTCAAGGATGAAAGTCGCTCG